AGATGGGTAAAGCAAGAGTCCCTTGAGAAGGTTGATACAACTCTCAGCTCTTGTTAAACCATAGGATTTCACACCTCAGTCTTGTTGGAAGCCCCTGCGCGTGGTTTGACAAAAGACTCGAGCCCATTCAAAGACGTCTCTTGCCAAGAGCTTGTATGGCCCGCCTGCTTTGCCCATGGTGTCGACATGCTTTGCCACCTTCAAGGAGGCCGCTCTGCTCTACGGAGCACTGAGTCAGCACGCACTGCAAACACGTGACATGGCTATGATTCCTTGATTGGCTAGAAACGCTGCTTTCGCCCGAAGGTTGGCTTTGGACTTGCCTTCGCAGCTGCCATCGAGCAAATCGCGATCTCTGGCATGCTAAACCTGGCGCTGCGGAGTAGCGCCGCATTGTCGCGGCTGCGAGAGGGGCCATAGCTGTCGCCCAAACTTGTGGACACAGCGTGTCTAGTGGCACTCCCAGCCTCTCAATCTGCTTGGTGGCAGACGGCAAAAGTGAGAGCACTGCCGTAGGCCTCATTCCCACTTGCTGCAAGGCAAGTGGAAGAAATAACACCAGTGGATCACTGGATTAAAAAGAGCAGGGAAAATTCTGAGATTGATGTCTTGTTATCAGGCCCTTCATTTCATTCCATCAACCTCAGCGCCCCACAAGGAGCTCTGCTTGCATCTCCGGCGTGTGAGGGCCCACCTGAGCTGCACTGGGTTTCGCTGCGGGGGCGGCTTGGGGCGGATTTGTTTGCCCCATTTGCAGCTACTTGCCTACAACCATCCTTCATAGGTTCACCCCTGAAGCCCTGAAGTCAAAATAACAAAAAACGGAGATATCGTACCACGTCCCAGGTCACAGTAGCCACCTTCCCGGTGGGCCGATGGCCAGGGCCGCCGCAGGATGTTGGTCATCTGCTGTGGAGTCAGCGCCTGTGCGAAGGGAAGTAGCCAAGTCGGAAGGGCGCAATGCCTCAGGACTAACCTCCGGACGGTGCTAGCGGCAAGCTCCCAATGCGTTTTGCTTCGGGACCCGTCTTTCAAAATTCCCGAAGCGGGCAAAAACAGGTCCCACCCAGAGTATGACACCTTGTGCCACCATGCTCAGATTGCTGGCACCCTATCACTGACTGCGGTTTGCTTCATTGGTTGCAGTTGTGAGCTGTCTAACCCGACAGAATGCGGATGGACGAAATCCTGTACCATTTGGCATGACACCTAGGAATACTGGGATACACCACCTGCCCTCTGGCGCAAAGCGGATTTGGTTCATCCACAGTAGGGATTCCTTCAGCTGTTCCATCTTCTGTTGCTCCCTCCAGCATGCAGCTCAGGGATTCCTAAACCAAATCAAATCACCATGTTTCACCTTCATCATTTGTCACCTTTGCAAGCAGCAGATTCCCTGTGCTAGGAAGGGACATTAACTCCTTGTAATTGAAAAAAATGGAAAATCGAAGATGCCTCCCTCCGATCTGGTCTTGACCTGCTTGGCCTCAGCCTCACGTCCAGGGGCCCTGCCAATCGCTGTGCTGCAAGGGCTGCGTTGTTGAAGAACGCCTCAGCTAAAAATGACATTGCCTTTTGCGCTTTCTTGCTCACATGACTTTTCCTAAACCAGACATCGCCTTTCATTTGGCCTCATGTGGCATCAGTTGGGGTTTCGTGTCATGGGTTTTTTTGGCCTCATGTGGCCTCTCTCACGGAAGCAATGGTGCCGTGCTTTGACATCGCTGCACGAGGAATGCAAAGGAAGCCTGGCCACTCACTTGGCCTAAGAATCTGTCATTCCAGCCAGTGTCCGTTCGCTCTGACTGCATTCCAGGTGGCGGCTTGGAAGAAGTTGTTGGCAGCGAAGCCCCAAATAATGCTGGTAACTTCCTGGCGAGGCGCGGACAACACAGTCAACAGGCCCTGGTCAACTCCAATCGCTGGGTTCTGCATGCCTCTGAATCTCAACTTCCTCTAACAAAAAGTGACTATGAAGTGCAACGAAGCATGATGCAACCCACACATCGAAGTCTTTCCAGCCGACTCCACAGCCCCCCTCCAGCCTGCTGCTTAAAGTCCTGCAAGCGGACATTCGCCCGTCGGGCCACCTCCTGGAAAAGCCTGGCGGAAGACATCTGCTAGACGATCTTGGAGAGCCGCGAGTCAATCCCGAACTCTAGGCAGTCGGTTGCTGAAGAATGGGCAACTCCAGGCTGGAAAGCAAGGGTCGAGTCAAGCCTGTCAAGGAACTTACTTCCCATGCTTCCTGCGCCCGCGTAAGACACGCAGTCGCCGCGCCTCTCGTGGGGTATTTGAAGCAATCCATAGGCCCATGCCTCGAGTGTCGTCCAAAGGGCATTCAAGCTCACAGCTCGCTGACATGGCAAACAAACGAATCTATTTCTTCAATGAGGGCCTCTTGGCTCAGGCCACTTCGCCCCTTGCAAGCGAGGACAACAATTGCCACTTGCCAGGCAAGAACAAAAAAGATGGTAATCCCATGCAGATGTTCTGGTTGCTTTCAGGCTCCGGAGATTCCACAAGTGACTCAGGTGACCTTTGCTCCACATAGCTCCAACCGGTCTCGCCAAACCGGGTAGGATCTGATCCCCAAACGAGGCTTCTCCCTTCACACCCTTGACATCCCAAGGCGCAATATTGGCCAGCTCCCCGCAGTTTGCTGTGTGGACCTGGAGCGCAGAAAACAAGTGGTGCAATCGCGTCTTGGACAGATTTGCGTTGCTGCTTCTGGGGCACACCTTTTGGTTGATATTCAAAGAGAACCAACAGAGACCGGCCAGGGGGAACCTATTTAGAAATTTGAGTCACAGTGGTATGAAAAAGCATGTGCCGCTGAGTCAACTTAAGGTTGATTGCTGAGTGAGCGATGTTATTGTGACCTCCCGCAAAGAGACGAGTAGGACAAGCGTGGGACAAGACAGCCCCACATTACGTCCAATTCTGGGGTAGCTATCAATTCATTGTGGCTTCGAGTTTCTCACGTCGAAGGTCTTGAGGCCGGCCGAGGGTCAAACCATAACTTTGGCCTTCGAACATGCTGGATTCTCCCCCCGCACCCACCCAGCCACCCATGCCGTGCCTGGGAGATCAGGTGATCCCCGATAATCTGAAACAGGGCCTCCTCTTTCTGCCTCCCAAAGGCTGCCAAGTGTGAAATACTCAAATCAACTTGTCAGGAAATGTATCATAGGGGGACCATTAAAAGAAATGGTGTTCCTTTGTTTTTTTTTCAAACCAATCCCGAAAAGGGTTCCCTTGAAAAAAGACACCCTTGATGTCTGCCACATCTACAGCAAACGTGAGCAAAGTGTCGACTTGCGGCGCCTAAATGCAGCATACGACCACGCAACGGTGACCAAGCAGCGCAAGGTAAACTCCTGGCGAGTGCACAACAGCGCTACGTACAAACAGATTGCGCACACAGCGCAGGTCCCCCTGAGACCTTGCAGGTTGAGCCCCCCAGGGGAGGAGGAGCAAGCACGTCCGGAAATGCCCGGAAGCCTGTCTAACAGCCCTCAGTCCTCCAGCATCTTCGGGATGCGGAGTGCTGCCGCTTCGAAGAGGTACTTGGCACCTCGGTGTCGGAAGGCAAGGTAGCCCTACGTCCAATGCGCCTTCCGGGGGAAATTTAAGTGATGTCGCTATCGTCTAGAAAGCATGGCAAGTCCTCGAAACTCCAGTTGGTACGGTGTCAAATGTATCTTACTCTTGAGTGATGGGCCAATCAACAACTCTTTTTCTCTTCCGAGGGCCTCGTTCACGATGCCCGACCCTCAAGGTCCCATGCGCCGAGCTCGCAGCAGGCGCACGCCTCTTGGTTTGCAAGGCCCATCTTGGCAAAAGACCTCACAGCTTTCCGCGAGCGAGCGCGCGTGGGGCAAGACTTGAGCCATGATACAATGGGTCATGACCATTGGCGCTGTGCGCTGTCACCAGCTAAAGCCACAAGCTGGGTGTGAGTCAAAAATAGGTACACAAAATGGAACCCTGGTAAATGGAAACAGGGACGAAATCCTGCGGTCCAATTCCTGGCTCATACCCAGCTCTCCAAACGACACCCAGCGCCGACTCAGGCTTCGTCCAAAGGATGGTGGAGAGCTCAAAGGGCTTGAAGGTGTCCACCTGCCCGCTCCCTAGGCCATCCACCCCAGCGCGGGAGAAAGCTTTGACAAACGTTTGGGCCTTGGATTACTTCTGGAGGTCCTGGCATAGGGCTCTGTGTGTGTGTGTGTGTGTCAACATTAGGAACCCTGCGGATGATGTACTTCCTTCTGCGTCCTAGACATCGCATGACTTAGGATCCTGTAAGGGCTCAAAACCAAGGGCAAAGGCAAGTCAGCGCAAGCAGGATAAGTCGGAGCAGCAGTTCCCTCCGATATTCCCCTTGGGAGAACTGCTGCTGTGACTGGGCAGTGCGGAAATCGCCACACGTGAGCTTCCGTTGACCGATTGTCAGTGAATCGAATGCTGAGGTGGTTGGCATTGACTTGAAGTCCTGGTTCCCGAGCCTAGAAACCTCTAATTGGCCCAGCAAAGGCAGAGTTGATACGAGGCAATTGGCAATCCCGTGCCCTCCCTTCCCCCTCCAGTCCCAGACAGAGCCTGACCCTGCGCAGGAATCGCGATAGCCTGTGAGAAGGTATGGTCTGGCAAATATCCCTCAGTTCTGCTTGAAAGCAACTCAAGAAAGAACGGCGCAGGCAAAACAAAACACATGTTGTGGTGTTCATGCTTTTTTTGACCGACCGTGGCTCGTGTTGGAAAAAGCTGATGCTTCAGGATTGCGCGCAAAGAACGCGCAGCGCTGAGACAGCCAGCTTCAAAAAACAAAGTAAAACACGCCGTCCGAAGCTGCGAACTTGGCCAGCATCTCAGCTACGTTGAAGACCCATGCGCTGGCAGAGTAGGCATGGTGTTTTGGGTGCGGAGCAAGGATTCGAATAGGAAGCAGAGCAAAGAACATTACCAACATCCCTCTCCTCGACCCTAGTCTGACCCTAGTGCTTGGTCGCCGCTTTCCCAGCTTTTACCAGGACTCCAAATTGGGAAGCACTCACATTGACTCCCGTCACTGCTGACACGAGCATCATGCCGCCCCAAAGCAAGGATATCGTCAAGCAAATATTCAGCATGAAGATCGAGATACCGATTGCCAGCCAGCGCTTGCAAGAGAGCTTGTCCTGAAACCATTTGACAATGTTGTCAATAGGCTTGGAGATTGCCAAAGCAATGCTGATGCGCACCGGTCTGATCAGATTGCTGATGACGTACAGCCCAGCCCATGTGAGGCCGAACTGCTTCAGCGCCGCCTTGTCCGTCAGAGGACTTGCCCCTGTGGCCAGGATGGATCGATACGTTGCCAGTAGGATGAGCAGCAGCGCGTTGACATTGGAGACGAAGCCATAAGACAGCAAGCACATGAGGCCCATCTTCCGCAAAGCTTTGCTATCCATCTTGGCATTCTTCTTCCACCAGGATTTAAATCCGGACTTGGTCGTCGGGCTTGACTCACCTGCGACCTCTGCCTCTGCCGCGCGTCGCCCACGCCGCGTCCGCGGCGCCGAGGCGCACGCGGCAACGCAGGCACCCGCTAGCGCCAGAGCGGCTGAAGAGGCTGGAGCGGCTGGAGCGGCAGCTGGCGGGGGCACTGGGGTATGGTGCGGCCTGGACCTCGCGGGGCGACTGGAGCTGAGTGGCGCGATGGCAACCTCCATGGTCGTGCGCGTGAGTCTCCAGAGGCTGCAAGGTGCTTTGGTGTTCAATCAATGCGCAAGGCTCTTGAGCAAATCAGGGGCTTTGCCACTGTTAGTGCTTTCCTCTGATGGAAAATCAAACAATGCTGCGTTGCTCGAGTGACCTTGGCTGCTGCTTTCAGGCTAGCAAATGCCCCGGCACCTGCCCTGGGAATGTGTGTGTGTGTGTGTGTGCATCTGCAGCTCTGCAAAAAAAAGCAGAAGAGGATCCGGAAAAAAGAAAAAACTCAGATTTGCTTCTAGCTCCATTCACCAACAACCTGGTTCCCCTGCCCACATTTTCCGCGATCGGAATGCTGCCGCGGCTGTGTCTCCCCTCTCAGCAGCCGGGCACGGCAAAGGGTCAAGGGACGCCGAAGCCTTCTGCGCCCTTCTTTAGCCACCGAAAGGACAGCGGAGTAGCGGAGCGGCCGCGAAAATTGGGCCTTGCAGGAGCGGGCCAAGCGCCCGCAACCCGCAACCCATCCTTCAGCTAAGGTTGACGGACTGGCCAGTTTCGAGCTTATTGGGAGATCTGTTGAGATTCAGTGATCACCCCAGCCTCAGAATCATTTCAGCAACCAAAAAAAGGCAACACGACCATGGTCTGTTGTACGAGCTCCAAATACCGACTCTCACCTGAGCATTCAGCTCATGCACGCTCACACGATGACCTCCTCCGGCAAGCACATGCATTTGCCAATGAACCTGGCACGGACCAAAGAACCCCTTTCTGTTTGCCCAAAAATCCAGATCAGCCTCCAAGCTTCCACCCTTCGCAAAGTTCGGCTTCGCCTCTGAACACCAAAGCCTTTGGCTTGACCTGCCGCCCTCGGAAAGCCTAGGCGTCGCGCCCATCCAACACGGCCATTTGAGGAATGTTGGACCCAACACTCAAAAGGAAACGCACCGTGCCCGCCCCTTCCCTTCGCCTCTGCGGCACCACGAAGACGCAGTGAGGCTTCGGCTTGCCCGTAAGCACTGCCTCTCAAGTGGCAGGTCCGACAAGCAGAAGCCCAGAACTTGCAAGGCTATGGGCCAAGCATCTGGCTGCATCACATGAAGCCAGAGTAACAATCCAGCTCAGGCCTGAACCCCCGTCTTAGGAAGTATCACACAGGTGCCTGTAGCAATACTTTAGTTAAGCCGATCTCAAAAAGAGCACAAGTCCCAGCAAGGCGACCTTGATCTCGTGGTAGGCGTGGCATGTGAAATCTGCTGGCTGAGCTTGCTTGGTGGTCTCCACATTGGTGGCAACCTGGGAATTTCGCACGCAGCTCGTGCTTCGCTCAGTGCACAAAAACATGCTGGGAGGGGACAGAAGTAGCAGCAACAAGAGCCGGCGCAGTGGAACGTCCTTTATTCGGCTACTGCAAAACAGCATAGAAGAACAGCACAGGCAAATGCGATTGATGCTGAGCTCCAAAACGTGCCCTGCGACTGATTGATGCCCGCAGGCCTTCACAATATAGCATGCGCTAAGCTTTTGGGTTAGCTCGACCATCGACAGAAAGGGTGAAACGATGCGGCGATGCGATAAACTCATGCTATGCCCAGAGCTAAAGTCACAGCAAAAGTGATCCAGGCTTTCGAATTTTCAGCTTGACTTCGATGAGGCCCGCGAGAAGCCCGCCCCACCCCGACACGGCGGCCGGGTAGCGGTGATGACGAAGTCATCCTCCGGGATGTACGTGGTCTGCGACTGATACCCGTAGGTGTCGCCCACGTGGCCATACGCGTCTGTGGAGCCAATGCTCCAGGCCAAGTTGAAGGTGCCCATTCCGTAGAATTTGAAGGGGCCTGAGACTTCGAATTGTTTGAGCCCAACCGTCACCGTCACTCATGACTCGTGATCCTGAGAAGAAATGCCATCCGGGGGATTCACATGAAGGAAGGATGCTGGGTTGGGGGAGTTCTCGTTGTCGCACCCAGCTGCCAGGGCGCTGCCAGCCTGGGTGGTAAAGTTTGTCAGGTGTGCCTGCGACTGAGCAGAGACAATTTGGGGCTCCTTGGTGTTGTAGAGCTCATAAGTGAAGCGCGCCACGTCCGCCACGGAGCCCAAATAATTGCCCGCCGTCCAACCGCCCAGGCAGCTCACGTCCCAGACATCCTTGAAAACTCTGCCGAAACTATATTCCTGCTCGATGCCCCAAACCGAGCAAAACTCGGTTGGGACCAGCTCAGAACCTTTGTGAAATGGCAGGATTTACTGTGCCCCCAGCATCTTCTAGGAGGGAAACCGACAAACTCGGTGCCACTCTGTGCAACAACCTGAGGACCCGAGGCCGATCCCATCCTGCTTGGGCAACTTGGCAGAGGGGTAGAACTCCATGAAGCCGTGCACCGGCGTGAAGTGGCTACAGGGGCCCTCTTTCCTGAGGAAAACAAACAAAGACGAATTTGGCGATTGCAAATGGTCAAAATTAGGGGGTCCATCCAACTGGTTTGGTTCCCTTGATTCCTCGCACGTCATCTACAGGGGGGGAGGCTACCCAAGTACTCTCTAAGGCTTGGCCCAGAACCAGATTGCACAGAAAAAGCCCCTCCTGGATGTAAAAGATCAATCAGTCTGGTCATGGTAAAATTTCGGCTTGGACAACTTGCGTGATGAATCGCTGCCAGGCTGCACAAAGAGGGAGTTTTGGAAGGCATTTCTCAGGGCCGCTGGGATCACCGTGCTCTGGTCATAGCTTTGCCAGGCCCATGACTTCGTTGGCTGGTGGTAGTGCGTCGCCAGCACTAAGCCAAGTAGAATGTAGTTGGTGCTGCCTCGGTTGACTCTCAAAAGTGCACCATCCCACCAAAGCATAGGGATCATGTCCAAATGGGGACCCCAAAAATGGTGGCTTGCCTTTTGGCTGCAATTGAAGCCAACCCAAGAAGCTCCCTCACAAACGCACACCCACAGAGCCGCATGCCCAGAAAACGGCCAGAAAGGGGCGTTGTTGGGCCGGCCTTTTTTCAAAACCACAAGAAAAACCTCAAGAAATGACCGATTGTCCCTAGCCTAAGCCACTTCGGCCTGCAATCTAAGAAAACGATCGTGCTTGGAAAACGCCAGGTTTTGCTTGTTTTGTGGAAACCGTCAGAAACCTCGAGAATTCCAGAACACAGCCAAAACTCGAGTTTCCCCAAAAAGCAAACTTGCTAACCCTATGTCTGCAGCCTAAGCCACGTATAAGCCAGGTAGGGTCTGCAATATGGTGTTTGTTTCTTCGGAAAATTCCGTGTGTCTGTGTGTGTGTGTTGTTGGTGGAACCCCCCAAAACCTCGAGAATCGACAGAAACAGTTTTCCAAAAAATGCAGTCCCCAAGTGGTTTAGGCTAGGGCCTGGGACATAGGGTCAGCAAATTTGGTTGCTGGTTTGTTTGTTCTTTGAAATATCGTTGTGTTTTGCGGTTTTGGAGAAGTGTAAAAAAATCGGATTATCCAAAGCAAAAACACAACACAAATCAGACCCTGCCTAACTCAGCAAACATGAATGCATCGGGTCTGGCTCTCTGGACAAATACTTGCACTAGACATACGGCAAACACACGTTAGAAATACGTGGGCATCAGGTTAGAAATATGCGCCCGAATGCTCAATGTATATTATATTGGACGTAGTAGACATATGCTAGACACATCCGCAAAAAGCCGGACATACATGACATAGAACCAAGCTGACCCTGGTAGACACACAGAATAGATAGATATGCACTACACATGCTAGACACATGCTAGACGCATGCTAGACGCATGCTAGACGCACGCTGGGTCAATGTTAGGCAACTACTAAAAAACACGTGACAAGTTTAATTTCTGCAAGTAAGCTGGAGCTACAACGTCCAAGTTAGGAACATTGTGCATAGAGGCTAGTAAGCATATACCTTGAAACAATGTCAAAGGTATAGAGTGCAGGCAAGCAAAAACAAGTATAGACATAGAGTAGTACAAGCTAGACATCTACAACATACTGCACAAGGCAGTTGCTGCCATTTCCATTCAAGATGAGACATTGATGAATGGTTTGACAGCATGCGCAGCATATTCCACTCAAGATGCAATAGTAAACATACAAGTGAGCAAAGCTGACGAGGCCGTTTTTGCGGAACACACAAACTGGCCCGAGCTGGTCATGCAGCCAAGCGGCAATAGGCCTGCTGTTGCCCTGGTGGAAACTGGAGCTCTGGGCTCACATAGTTGCTGACAATCTCAATGGGGCCGAATGCTTTGGACCGATTCGCAAACTGCGCGGTGGAAAAGGCCTCCCCGTCGTAGTCTTGAATTCCGGAGGTCATGTGCAACAGGTGCCTCGGAACATGAAAGCTACCCATCATGACACGAAGCCTTGCCAACCCAACCCAAAGTGGAGCATTCTGTCAGATGAAAGTGAATCCTGTCATTGCAACGGGCGGTGGGCACGAGAACAAAAAGAGGCCAGTCAAGTCACACACTTGTTCTCTCTTGGTTCGGGACCTGAGTGGGCGGCGTGCCTACTTTGCCCGTACGAATCTTAGGGAGGGGAACAGGCATGCCGGAGGTGCTGAATCTGCACTTTGTGGATGGCGGAGCCAAAGTAGGACTCCAATCGAGTGCCGTTCAGCACCAGCAGAATGGGGTCAATGTGAAGGGCGATGGGATCAGTCAGTTTCACCTGCTGCAGAAGCCCAGAAGCCAAAATGCATGGAGGACGGGTTCCGGAAGATCAACAAAAGTTGCACACGTTCTCCCAGCACCTGAAACCCCAAACTACTGCTGGCATCTCCGATTGCTTCTTCCTTCCATCCATGTTGACTGGCTTCCTGCATGCTTCCAATTGTTGTCATTGTTCACCCCGCTCTGAGTCCTACTTCAATGCTTGAACCTACAATTACCCCCCCCCATACACGCCCAGTGCGGGAAGTGTTCAACCACGTGCATGCACTTTTCAAGATCTGCGTTGTTTCACACTTCTGGGTCCAAAAACAGCATCGCTCCAAAGAATCCCTCGCGCTCCGCATTGGCCCGCCTCCAAATCAATGGCAACCTCAAACACCTCTTTTGTAGGTTGCGTGAAAAGCCCCTTTTGGTCATGTGAGTGTTCTGCTTGAAAATCCATCGTTTCCCCACCTGCAAAACAAGGGTTGTGGACTCTGGCGCCTGGATCCAAATCAGGGTTTGTGTGGTTCAGCGTGCTCTTTTCAGATTGGTTTTAAGGGTGGCTCCACCTTTTTGGGTGTGATGTTTCATTGGGAACCACCATTCTCTAGATTGGAATTGATGTCCCCAGCCACTTTGAAGGTTCCGGTGCATTGAAGCTCATAGCCACTTTGGCACATCCGCTGCAGCCAAAACCTCACCTGGTTCTTCTCCACCAGTTGCAGCACCGCGGGTGCCGTCAGCATCTTGGTGGTGGAGCCCCAGACCTCACCCCGCTCAACGACATCTGGCCCTCTTGGCTTTAGAAATCGGCAAGCCTAACTTCACATGGGTTCCATTGTAAGCCTGAACAGGGAGTCCCCAACCCATCCCCAACCCCAACCCCTTCCCAACCCCTTCCCCCCCGACCCCATGTCACCCGGCCAAAATCCCTGCTCCAGTCCGCCTGAAACGCAGTAGGCCTTCGTGGGAGGGCAGATCCTTCAAAAACCTGTCCAATTCCCTTAAAAAAACGCATTTAAAACCCGGTCAAATCCCCTTCTGGAAGCCGATGGAAGTCGGCCAACTTCCCATCTAGCTCCGGTCAAATCTCGCTGGAAACCGGTCAACTTCCTCCACTCCGGTCAAATCCCCCTAGAAACCGGCCAAATTTCCGTTGAATGAGCCAAACCCTAAAAACCGTAGAAACCAGCCGAACTCGCTTCTAGAAACCTGTCAAATCCCCTCTGAAAACAGGTCCAACTCCCGTCAAATCCCCTTAGAAACCGTCAAAATCCCCCCAAAAAAAGCCGTCCAATACCCTGGAAATTTGGACCTGCGCTTGGCCCACCATTCTGTAGCTCTCTGCGGCTCTCGGTCTGGCCCTTGAAGCCAGGTGGAATCATGTGGATACGCGCCCACCCGCTAGCTTGGAAACCAGCTCACGCATTTCGGCGCCGACTCACTCACTTTAATAACATCACTTCAAGGCAAACTGAAGCACTGTATATACCTCAAAGCCAGCCAAAAGCGGACTGGCCGAGGCGGGCAACGCGAAGCGTTTACAACAATATACGTGTGCGTGGGACCCCAAAAAAGGCTGTCTTCCTTTTGGTTTTGCTTTAACTAACCCAAAACGGGAAGCCTTAAACACATGCAAGCCCACATTGCGACTGGCTCAAAGTATTAGCCTCGCTACGTAGAGATCGTCCGCCTGCGCCGGTCGTGTCTTGTTGCCCAGGCCCAGGCCTGCCAAAGAAAAGACCGGCCACTGGATGGCAAGACTCCAAACATGCGGATGTGTCTGTCTGTGTTTTCCTTTTTTTCTTTTTTACGGAAGCTTGTTGGGGTTGGTGTAAGGCAAATCAAAGACAATCCCCTTTGTTGTTTTCCTCTTTTATGTTGAGACAAACTCAACAGAAAATACATGGAAGGTATCAATTGGTGTCAATTCTAGGTTCCGACGCATGAAAATCGCGGCTCTGCTCAAAGAATGACTTGCCAGTTCTGTGAGGACATCCGGACGGCTTGTGTCTTCTCTCCTTCAGCCATGCATGCGGTGCCTGCATCCGTGTAGCCCGATGCAACGCTGAAGTTCAGACTCTTGGAGTAGAAGGCAGCCGCCAGGCTCATGTCATACTTGTCCTGCACGGAATAGCTTACCTCTCCGTCAGGGGGACTCGGTGTGTTGCAGTAAGCATTTACGCGCAGCATGAGTGAGGCGGCGAGTCCCGTGGAGATCAAGGAACGGCAAAATGGCTGCAACTCCCGCTGACGTTTGCAATTTTGCAGAGTCATGGCTGTTGTTTGTCCTATGCTTTCACTTGTCAACATGCGGATCAAGTCTTTGATCTTTGAGAGCCAACCAAAGAGGTCCCCATGTCGAGACATGCTGGGGGGGGCATGCTGACATCACGAGCAAACCCCGCACCCCTCGCTTTGAAACTTGCCATGTCTCACAGTTTCACAACAAAGTCACCAACAAGAAGGTTGCGCATATGCACATCAGCAACCACAAAAAGGCAAAGGTTGTTCGAGGTGCCCAAAAAGGTGCGAAGAGAGGTTTGGCCCCTTCCCAAAGATGGCTCGCCGGCAGGCTCGCATATCTGGGATCCCAAAAGGGCCAGGATTGCTCTTGGCGCCCCCGTCCCGCATCTGGTCGGCCACACGTTCCTTATCGCGACATGCAGACAAGCCGTCTTTTGCTTTCAATTGGCTAGCCCTAGGACACTTAATAGGCAGGGCGTCGGCCTATGTGAGCCATCAAAAGGGCTGTTAGCAAATATCTCACATTGTTGCCATGGCTCTAGGGCCGCTTTCAACTCATCCTGCAAAGGGCGGCCGCATACGGCCAGCCCCAGCGCCGCATAAAGCGTGAAGCGCAGCATGGCAGTAACGGTGCCCTCAAAAGCTTTGGCCATCAATCCAAGATACCGCCGTTCCAAGGCCATTGACAATCCCATTTAGGGAGTGCGAAGTTTAGCCAAACAAAATCCAGCAAAACCTGGAAAGCCCATTGTGAATTGCTATCCTCGTGCCACTTGATCAGCTTGATCAGCTGCAGTTGCTTCGATCAGGTACAGTGAGGAACGGCGATATGTGTGCGTGTGTATGTGTGTATGAATTTAGGCAGGTAGGTAGGTAGGTAGGTAGGTAGGTAGGTAGGTAGGTAGGTAGGTAGGTAGGTAGGTAGGTAGGTAGGTTAGGTGGGTGGGTAGGTAGGTAGGTAGGTAGGTGGGTAGGTGGGTAGGTAGGTAGGTAGGGAGGTAGGGAGGTAGGTATGTGCGTATGTATGTATGTGTGTATGGGTGTATGCGTGTATGCGTGTATGCGCGTATGTGTGTATGTGTGCATGGTTGTAAGCATGTATGTATGTGTGTATGCATGCATGTATCTATATATATATATATGTATCTATGTATCTATGTATCTATGTATGTATGTATCTATGTATCTATGTATCTATATGCATGCATGAATTGATGTGTTGATGTATTGATGCATATACTTGCGTGTGTGTCTGCAATCTAAATGCAAGTTGAGCGGCTTAAAAAAACATCAGTCCTCAGAGCTTCCTCAAGCTCAAAAATGGGGCCATGCCCATCCTCCATTGATTCAAAAGGGGGAAAAACCGTTTTCAAGCGGGCAAAGCCTCCTCACCGCAGTGACCCTGGCGACGCCTTGAGCAGATCCTCATCGATGGTGTTCAGCGTCGCCATGGCCCAGGTGATGTTGGCCAGTGCCTCGCGAGCCATAGCTCCCAGCGGCTCTGCCGCGGTGCGGCTTTTGCGTCGGTCTATGTGGGAGTCGGTGAGTCAACATTGGTCCATATTTCCCATATTGTCTGCCGTGTGGAACAACATGGCCTCTTTCTGGTGCACAAACCGCATTGACTGCCCCCCGCCTGGGAGGAGGGCTTTGTTCCGCTGGAGCTAGCCTGCATGAGTCAAGCCCCAGAGCCACTCAATCATAGCCAGCGCCCCACATGACCACCTGTAGATGAACCAGATCATCGAATGATTAAAGTACATAAATAGGTTTACATGTATATCAATAGCATGTATACTGAGCAGTTAATTCACATTGAGTAACGATAAATGATGCTAATATCAAAGAACCGTCTATATTCGCTTTGCTCCGATTCACTCTTCAGCATACAAGTGGTCAATGGGACCGGTCAGGTTGGACTGTTCATGGTCACTGCCTGCTCACCGCCTTGTCGAGAGATCGGTGTCTTCAGAGTCCTCTGGGGCCCCAGCTCGAGCCAGGACCGTGTTCGCCTGGTTGATCAAGCCCTGCGCCAGCACTGGACTGAGTCCCAATCCTAGAAATTCAGTGGGGTGGTTGGATTCCAACCTAAGGAGCTGAGACATGAAGGGGCGACAGCGCTTCGCCACGTCAGTGCATGACCCGCCTCAACTATTCTCTGCGCTGCAAGGGCGGCTTCCTGATCCTCGTTGTTGGTCCAAAGCCGCGCTATTCTGTGGAACCTCGGCTCGCAGGAAGAGACCCCATTTGCCAATCCGCCGAGGAATCCGCCGCTTTTTCCCCCTGGTTCAGTTTGGACACGGTAGCCCTTGCCACGATGATTCACCTTGCTTCTGCCTATCCCCAACACCCGGAAATGTAATCCAGAAAAAAAGGGGTTGGACAATCCCGTGCTTTCCATCACCGGAAAGCAGCCTGCTCTGCCCTGAGGTACTGGCGCGGTGGAGATGTTGACCAGGTTCATCTGGGATATGTACGCCTGCAATTGCTTGGCTGCTGAGCAACAGGACACCAACAACACACCACAGCTGCAACACAGCTGTTGTTCGATCTTAAAAGTTAAGGTAGCGCCTTTCGAGCCACATGTTTTGGCGCAGCGAATCCCAACTTGTCCGACTTGTCGTTTTTCTGAACCGGCCAGTCTCCAGCCACGTCGTGAGGCCAAGTGTCCAAGTGTCCCCGAGAAGTCTCAAGCCCCTCGTGTCCTTGATTGGCCATGGCATCCTGCCCCAGTCCCTCACGCTCGGGATGCGCCTCTATGGTCTGAGATAGCTCCATCAGGTTTCCAGACCTCAGCATGTGGACCCAGGCCTGTTGAATGCCCTTTGCCTCCCCTCCATTCTCCCAATCTCAATCTGGCATCTCTGACCGCGTGGCGCATCTAGAAAGATGCGCTAGCAGAATGATACTTGTTTCATTCAGCAGGCTGGGCACTCGTGCTCGCTTCCAGGCCCAGCAGCCAAGTTTCCCGGGCACCGGGCTCCGAAACGCTGATGATCTGGCTGTTGATCCAGGGAAAGGTGTCGCGCTTTGCCGCTCCCTGGCAAAGGGAATCAGAGACACGGCGCCTACGCTCCCAAGAACGGCCCGAAAACCAGCAACTTGCTTTTTGCGGGGGTGGGGGGGCTGTACAAGGGAATAAACACTAACTTCATCGGCTCATCTGGAGGGTCCCTAGTGTTGGCAATCTAAGCTAACAATAAAACCAAGACAGCTTGGGTCTATCGGCAGATCTCATTGCGCGGATTCTCTCCCCAGAACTTGGTCTCAAACTTGAACAAAAGTACCCCCACAGAAATCGATGTCTTCCTATCTTTTACGGTCGCTAGATTCCAGACAGGTCCGGCCCCTTGGCTGTGGCTTCGGGCTGATCGCAAGGATGCATATGGGAGACAAGCTGGCAGCCTGTGGCACAGGCCATAGGCAACTTGAGTGGCGATCCCGCAAACAAAGACTTAGCTCTTCGTTTTTGCGCCTGGCGCCATCTGGGCCGCGAGTTCTTCTCCGGCTTCTTTTTCGCGCCTCATGCAGAAGCCGGGGATTCGGAAACTACCAGTCCAAAGTTTCTGGTAAATGGATGTCAAACTCAAGGGCCACAGGTTTGCGGGAGGTCTACGCCGCACAAATCAGGGGGCTGAGTCAGTCCTTGACTTGTGTACAAAATCCGATTTGCGTGAATGGAAGTGAGTAGAACTAGCCAGTGAAAGTGGAAGCATAAATCAAGGGTCCGGTGCCTTCCGCCATGTACCGACATCTTTACACGATGCGCTTCGAAAGTCTTCAAGGCCGCAAGCAGTTTGAAACTCCCGCATCCAACTGAGAGTCTGGCTCTGGCCGCCGACTCTCTCCTGGCAAAATGTGCCGCAATCCGCACCCCATGTCACGCATGAGCTTAAGACTTCAGAAGCCACACGCCAGCCGCAACTGGCACCTACCGCAAGTTTTGTTGCAAAGGTTGCCGAGCATGAAGTCTGCCTGCTATGGCAGGCCATGAATCATGAAAGCGGCAAAGAAGAGGGCAACTTTCTGGCGGAGGATTGGTCTTCCAAGCCACTCCTGCCTTTTGTGAAGGAAACCGATCTCAAATAACTCAAACGACTCAAATTCTTCAGGTTGTTCAAGCCCTTTGTAGAGCCACGCTCCCATTCGCAGGCCCTGTCCACCATGGTGACGGAGGGAAAGTCCGAGGCAAGCCTTGCCGATGGCACCCATGGCACCGATGGCACCGATGGCACCGATGGCAGCGATGGCCCCGCCAGCAGAAGGTTAACACTAACACTCAGACTAACACACTCACACACACACACACACACACACACACACACACACACACACACACACACACACACACACACACACACACACACACACACACCCACACACACACACACACGCACACGCACACGCACACGCACACGCACACGCACACGCACACGCACACGCACACGCACACGCACACGCACACGCACACGCACACGCACACGCACACGCACGCACGCACGCACGCACGCACGCACGCACGCACGGAAATGTGGTTGCATTGTGCCCCTTTTTTCCAGCCTCTGCGCAGTCAGGGCTGCATCCCGCGGCCGGCGCTTGAACTGTCCGTTTGCCCGGATCTGAGGTGTGTCTCTGTGTGTGTGTGTCTGCGCGTCTGCGTGTCCGTGTAGCTGTTGTTGCTCGCAGGTGTTGGTTGGTGGCTGCAATGTTGCTGCATCGCATCCAAAACGCTCTGGTTGGAGCCAGCTTTGCGGAGACGCTTGCAAGCGCAAAAAGCCCAAGGCTTGGGAAGGTTTCGGGGCCAACCGGAGATCTTTGCAAAGAAAGGCACTTATTGAATCCAAGGGGTGGCAATTCCTTTCCAGGTTCCCCAAAGTTTGCATCAAGCTGCCTGC